TTATTAACATAACAAATATGCTGAAACAGCTTATGACCAGGCTGAGTAAGCTGAATTATGTACACACTTGTAAATATATAAGAGCTGAGGTATCGAGGATTAATGACTATATATGCAGTTCACTGGCTCAGGCGTTAAGTGGCTCCTTCAAGTCTATTAGATCACCAATCAAGGGTTTACTTTGTTCAAATAGGAAATCAATAAAAACAACAGAGGAACTCAAAGGGCATCAATCATAACGCTTTATAATGGTGTGATTGTTTTTTTAACAAATAGGTCCCAGTGGTACCACTCACCTTAAAAGGTGTGAGCACATTCCATTTTATAAATAAATCTGCTGGGAAGAGTTAAATGTCTTATAAATATAAATTTATAAATCTATTAATCTATAAGTGAAATCTTGTTGTTGTTAAATGTCGTCAGTTTTGTCCTTGGGACTGCTTAACTTCTGTTAGAATACTAATAATTTATTGATCCGATTACTTTCACACCATTACCCTGAATAAGCCTATTGAGACACTCACTGATAGGATTCTATAGAGGTATTTTACAACTACTATATCTTGTCGTTCACTTTTTCTGAATTGCACGGACCTTCTTTGCTGGCCAGTGTTTTTTTTAAATCCATATGTTATTGAGGAGAGACGTAATGATGATGAGACCTGCAGAGGAAAACAAAATGTATTAAACTAGCTGTATCCATTGCAGCTTGGCTTGCGACCAAATTATCCAATATGGAATGTAGGTTGACACACAGACAGACACACAGACATTTTGTTTAGACAATATACGGAGCTGGGAGGACTCCTGTGGGAGGACTCCTTTAATATATTTTCTCTCAGTCTCTTTCTCAATCTCTCTCTGTCTCTCTCACTATCACAGTCTCTCTCTCTCTCTCTCTCTCTCTGTGTCTGTCTCTCAGTCTCGCTCTCTCTGTCTGTCTCACATGGGAGGACTCTAGCTCCCATGAAAAAGTGCCATACATTTGTTATAGAATATAGATGTATATCTCGGAACGGTGTGTGCTTTCTCTGTCGCTACGTAGTTGCAGAATAAAATGCTACCTCATATTTTGGGGCTTAGTTAAAACATTTTTTAATGTAGTTCATCAATGATAGGAGATGCCCCTACCCCAAAACAAATATGCCCATGACGCTGCCAGATGCAAGATCTTTCCGATGAGGAATAAATCATGTCTCTATGTCAATTGGTTATTGTGTGATTGTCGGATACACTGACACGCAGACAGACAGACACTTTGTCTTTATTAGTATAGTTGAAACCTCCTACCTGAACTGACTGCAAAATCTTAGTAAGCAGCTTGTCTGCTTCCATTGGAATTTTGAAAATTGCCGTCCTGACCAGTCTGAAAATCAATGGGAATAAAAAGTGAGCAAATTCCAGTGCAGTTATAGTGCAGCAGTGAGTTTTGCAGGCTCATATTGTTGATCTGGTTGATCATTATTTTCTATTTGTTCTCAGTTTGTTCGTATTGCACCGCTGAATAGACAATGGGAATCTTCTCCTGGATTTCAGTTCAAATGAAGGTGTGACCTATGAAATGAGCGTCATTTCATTTGGCATCTTTGTACATCCAATAATGGTAGACTCAATTGCTCTGAAGGATAATTGCCTACCTAAAGAAATAGGTCAGCATTTTATGCTACCTGCAGTGACAAGGTCCTGATTGAATGATATATATTGGTACTATTCATGCCCTTTTTATAAAAGTTTTGTCTTTTAAAAGATATGTTTGGCAGCTCTTATATAGATATTGTATAAATTTGGATTGGTTACAAATCCAGAAAAGTATTTCACAGTCTGGAAATTATAGCAACAAAGTAAGCAGCACATTTTGCTTTTAGCATCTTCCTGCTAAAAAGTTTAGAATAGGAAATTATTTTGAAGTGACAGTCATAAAATAATCAATGAGTCTCCTCCAGCTCCATTATGTGACTGGTTTACAGGCAGGAATTGTACAAATTCAATGCCATCCACCTAATTTTCTCTTCCCACAAAGGGCACATGCAAATAATACCACCACTGTACTTATCAGCACAGGAATGGATGCGAGTCTCAATGAGCTATTCAATGCTGGATTATGGATCAGAATGTGGTACCTGAAATTTTTTCACTCCCTTCAGTTTTGCCAACCTACAGAACACGAAAGTCTTGAGACAAGTGTAACTGCCCAAGCAGTTCAGAAAAGTTAAGAGCCGAAGATGTTTGAGGTTGCACAATGCTATGAGAAGCAAATGTTCAGTTAACCTTTGGAATCAGATTTCTATTAACCTCGGGAAATAAGTTTCATTACCAATTCACCTCTGGGAGAATAGCAGGGAATAAGGTAGCAATGCAGCCTTTAAGCAGATCAAAAAGTCCTGCAGCTCACAACGGGGAAATTACACGGCCATTACTGATGGTTTTGAAGCTTTGGATCCTGGAGGGCAATAGCTGATGTAAAGGAAGCCATCTTGTTGACTCTGCTCTACATTTTGATTGATGGTCTACAGGACTGCCTGAGCTTTAAATGCAAATACCTCTGTGCCCTGCGCCACACTTGCCTCAACTCAGATTTATCAGATCCTGGATTTCTTTCGCACTCTTTAGACAGAAAAAGAATATTGTATCCATTGAGGTAATAATAATAATAATCCTTGCATTTGATATAGCGCTTTTCACGTCTGGAGGACGTCCCAAAGCGCTTCACAGAACACACTGTAAAGTGAATTGACTGCATATTTGTGGGCGAACGCGGCAGCCAATTGCGCACAGCAATGTCCCACAAACAGTCGTAGATTGAAAATGACCAATTTAATTATTGTTTTTAGTTTTGATGCAGCATTCTTTGATTATAGTTGTAATGATTTTTAAAACATTTGTTGTAAATGTCATTTAGTATGTCAGATTTCAATTGCTTTATTTAAGCAATCCATAATGTTGCAAAGACGGTGTATTGGAAGTTGCTGTATGTTACCCTTTTGCTGTCTCTTGTCCCTCAAGATGATTTTGCCAAGTAATCCCCAGGACAATTCATATCCAGATTATGAATGGTGAAATAGATTTACTACTTATTTTTAAGCGTAGAGGCAAAAGGGCTACCAACTGCACTAGGCTGATTACCAAGGTTTCCACTCCTGTTGCTATCCAGTGAATCCTGTTATCAGACCTTATAACTAACTTTGGATCATGATTCATGACCACATACGGCTAATCAACCACCTGGACTCAAATACTGGGAAAGGCCCCTTGAGCGAGGCCCTCAATGCTGCGGCCACTTGTGAGAGCAGCTTGAGAGAGAGAGCAAACAGTTTCACTGCACTTCTCTAAAGTGAGTGAATGTATAGAGTACTGAACAACAAATTGCATTTGTACAGTGCTTTTCACATCGGTAGCACATCCCCGAGGCTTTGAAGGGACCAATTGTGAAGTTCCACTAAAATGGGAATGTGGGAGGAAATAACCCGTTAAAATACAGGACGTTTACTGTTCTTGAGTGCACGTCCCACAATAAAGGAGCTTAAAAGAGCTTGTGACATTGGTGTGTGTTCAGAGGCAAGGGGGGCGGGCAGAGGGATAGGAATCTATGGTAATAAGTAATAATAGCATACAATAATAATAGCAATAATAGCATCGTTGAGACATCCCAAAGCACTTCATAGAATATATTGTAAAGTGGAAGGAAGGGGTAAAATAATCAAATGCAAGGGTTAGTATTATATTTTTATACTGTACTGTATATAAGGGGAGTGTGTGTGTGGTGGGGGAGGTGAGGGTGGAGGTTAAACACAGGGCGAGGTAAAGCCACAATGGGCGCATTTCAAGCCCAAGGGGAGGGATATGGAGGGGATGAGAGAGGGAGGGGTACAAGACCCCATTTGTAAGTGCACCCTGGAAAGGGCGACAGAACCCCGAGGCGAGGGGTGGGGGCGGGGTTGAGGGGAAGCCTGGGTCCCTACACCAAAGTGAAGCGAGCAGAGGGAACCCCTCCTCCCCCCCACCGCCGCCACAAGGGACCAGGTCTGTTGCATTCTGTAACGGGATAAGAGGATGTTGCGTCTTCCTTACTGAGATGGGTTTGAGACCGTCTCTGAGACAAACGTAAATACATATATCAACAAATACACATATATAAATACATCTATATTTTTAAAAACACAGCAATGGCGGAGATCTGGTGGTAGTTGAAGACAATGATGGTGGTTGATGATGGTGATGATTGACGATAGTGGTTGATGATGATGGTGGTTGATGATGATGGTGGTTGACGATGATGATGGTGGTTGATGATGATGGTGGTTGATGATGGTGATGGCTGACGATGGTGATGGTGGTTGACGATGATGATGGTGGTGATGGTTGACGATGGTAAAGGTGGTTGATGATGGTGATGGTTGACGATGATGATGGTGATCGATGATGATGGTGGTTGACGATGATGATGGTGGTGATGGTTGACGATGGTAAAGGTGGTTGATGATGGTGATGGTTGACGATGATGATGGTGATCGATGATGATGGTGGTTGACGATAATGATGGTGATCGATGATGGTGATGGTTGACGATGATGACGGTGGTTGATGATGATGGTGATGGTTGACGATGATGATGGTGGTTGATGATGATGGTGATGGCCTGGACTGGAGGCCGCGCCGTAGGAGCGGGAGGGGTTTCCCCGGGCGCAGGGCAGGGGCGGGAAGGGGGGCGGGGCCTGGACTCCAGGCCGCGCTGCAGGAGCGGGAGGGGTTTCCCCGGGCGCAGGGCAGGGGCGGGAAGGGGGGCGGGGCCTGGACTCCAGGCCGCGCCGTAGGAGCGGGAGGGGTTTCCCCGGGCGCAGGGCAGGGGCGGGAAGGGGGCGGGGCCTGGACTCCAGGCCGCGCTGCAGGAGCGGGAGGGGTTTCCCCGGGCGCAGGGCAGGGGCGGGGAGGGGGGCGGGGCCTGGACTCCAGGCCGCGCTGCAGGAGCGGGAGGGGTTTCCCCGGGCGCAGGGCAGGGGCGGGAAAGGGGGCGGGGCCTGGACCCCAGGCCGCGCTGCAGGAGCGGGAGGGAGACGGTGATGGCCGCCATGACAGCGCCCGGCGACCGTCAGGTGTTCCTCAGAGCCCGGGACAGAGGCTTCGCGGGACTGACTGCAGGTCGGGTCAGGGCGGCCGAGAGCCTCAGGAGGGAGAGGGGAGGAAGGAGAGAGGGATTGACTTCCCCGCCCAGAGAGAGTCTGTCTGTGTGTGTGTGTGTGTGAGAGAGAGAGCTTTATTCCCGCCGCTCTGCCTCTTCACTTAACTCTCACCTTTCAACCTCTTCACGTACGAAAAAAAAACACCCGGGGGTGGGGGGTTGAGGGTAAAGAAAGAGAGAATAAACTCCCCTCTACTGGGAGTCCCAGGAACAGACTGTACACTAAAGTCACTCCTTCCTTCTGCCCTCTTACTCCTCTCTCTATACACACACACAGTTGCATCCCTTAAGGAATGGGGGGAAGGGAAGAGAAATCTACATAGAGAATTGTTTGCAGGAAGCACTTATATATATATATATATATATATATATACATATATACATATATATGTGGCACTTTTTAGGGCTGTCAACATTACTGAGAAAGTTATAAGATTGGAAAGAGTGACACAGACACTGTTAAAACCAATTGTTTTATTATTACCTGATTGTAATATATTATAATTCTATAATATTATAATTATTCATATTATATTAATATAAGTGTTATAATCGTAATAACAATATCGCAATTACCAATATGTTAATATTATTATAATATATTATAATGAATATGATTATAATATATAATTATTATTATTATTAATTGAGTGATGTGTGTAGCTTTTTTTCCCCCCCCGTAACGTGCACGAATACAATTTTGGTTAGCCAAAATAAATAATTGTCATTCTTAATGTGGTCTGTGTGTAATAAATATACAAAATGCATCTGGCCTGAATTCTGTAATTGAATACAGCAATGCTGACACCTCGTCTTGACAGATTAATTTACAAAATCACAGTAATAGCGAGAGATTCAAAACCCATTGGGTTTTTTTTCAATGCAGAGACATATATAGAAAAACATAATTTTCTAGAAAGAGGTTTGACAGCTCTGTCAAATTTATTTTGTTCAGTTAGTGGCAAATAACAGGACGTAGCCAAAGACAAGTGTAACAAGGACAGATGTTTCACAGTATTTGAGTGGTAGATCCAAGCAAACAAAGATTTGAGAGAAATTGTATGTAGGTGCTAATTCACCCAAAATATACAGTCATCACTTTACCGTATATCCTGTGAAGCACTTTGAGACGTCTAGAAGACGTGATGAGGCGATATATCAAATGCAAGGATTGTAATAGCAGAAATTCCCAATAGTTTAATGCATCTTGTGTTATACCTGGCTTAGCTGCAAGTGATGAACTCTGCAATTGCACTTCTGGAAAAGGGAAAGAAAGATGATGAAAGGTGATATACTATCTGATAGAAAGTTGAACAGGAAGGAAACGTGGTCTGAGAAGCTTGGTCGTTGGTACTCTGGATTTTGTTTGATATAGTATTTAGGAAATGCTGCCAAATCCTGTGCCTCGTCATCTCTTCAAGAAGAATGAAAGTTGCTTTGATCTAGGATGGTAAAAATGATGGTTACATGTCCATCTTGGACTACTTTCAGATGATCAGGGGTTACAGATCAGAAACAGACAGGCCTCAGATTAATCTGGTTTGTAAGAAAAACACCTGTATGAAGCTATAAGCAACTGCAAGAGCACAGCCACATTTGTGGTTTTGCTTCTGAGCCACGCATTTCATTGCTGTTTATGGAACGTTGCTTGTGTTTGCCTGCAATACAGTAACTGCACTTCAAAGTAATTCATTGTATGAAGTGCTTTGAACTCACGGTCGAGGGCCTAGACTGACACTTCAATGCAGTATTGGTTGAGTGCTGTATCATCGGAGGTGCCATCCTTTGGGTGAGATGTTAAACCGAGCTCCTGCCTGATTGTTCAGGTGGATGTTAAAGATCCAACGGCTCAATTTGAAAAAAAGAAGCATGTTTCTCATGGTGTCCTGGCCAATAGTCTTCCAGAAACAAGGTCATTCACTTAATGGCTATTTGTGGGCATTTGCTATTCCCAAATTGGCTGCAGAGTTTGCCTGTAAATACAGTGTCTGTACTTGACAACAATTATTTGTTTGAGATGTTTAGATAGTATGGATCCTATTATAAATGCTAGAATTATATTAAATGTAAGAATTATTAAATTTATAGTATATTAAGGGAAAGGATTATTATTCCTCAAAAGTTGCAATTGAAGTCACAAATCAAAATGGTGTCTTTTGGAATAAAGATTCAATTTCTGTCATTGTCCTTAACTGATAGACAAAAATGGAATTCTCAGTCAGTAACAAATAGTGAATGGTTGGGAAGTGGGAAGGATCTTTTCTTCAAAGGAAGTTCTGTCCTAAGAACATATAAAGTACTTCATTACAGATCTGTGTGATTTCTAAACTAAGCTATGAATATCTGCTAACTCACTAACAACATGCGTCACCCAAATATTAAAAGGATGGATACAACCTATTTATAATAATAATCCTTGCATTTGATATAGCGATTTTCACCTGTTCTAGACGTCTCAAAGCGCTTCACAGAATATGCTGTAAAGTGAATTGACTGTATATTTGTGGACGAAACGTAGCAGCCAATTGCTCACAGAAGTGTCCCACAAACAGTCGTGGATTGAAAATGACCAATTTATTATTGTTTTGGAGGGATTATTATCAGGCGTGTGCAGTAAGGAAACTTGCCCAAGGTTTCGCCCTGCCTGGAATTGAACCCAGATGTCTCGCTTGCAAGGCGAGTGCTCTAACCACTGAGGTACAGGACTCCAAATATAGGACTATTTCAACAACAGTCATGTCAAAAGCTGCTACACCATTGAGAGAGAACAGATTAACATCAAGGCTGTGAATATCTATAAAATGTGAAGTAAATTTAGTTTCTTTGAATATCTATCCTTTGAATGAGACGTTAAACCAAGGTCCCGTCTGCCTGTTCAAGGGACATTAAAGATGCCATAGTGCTATTCAAAAAGAGAAAGATTTTCTCTCTCCCGGTGTTCTGGCCAACGTCCCATAAATAAAAAAAATTGATCACTCACTCCATGGCTGTTAAGGGGACATTGCTTTGTGCAAACTGGGTACCGCCCACAAAACACACAGTAAAAACCACAGCATAAGGGTATCCTTTGAGACACTTTGAGGTGTCTCAATGACATGATAAGGCTATTTATTTCAGATACATAATAATTTGAGAATATTAATCTCAAATGCAAGGATTATTATATAAAGCATCTAGTTTACCATTGATGACATCCATTTGTGTCTGAGCCAGATTTGTTTCACTCTCTTTCAAATGTTAAGCTTTCTTTTTAAAAAAACCTTCGAGTTAGATCTGATTTAGTGAGACTGATCTAAAATATATTCACAGTTAAATAACTCCTTTGAAACATTGTTTTATTTCATATAGAACATTTCCCATGGGAGCAGCCATGAGAAACTCAAACAGTAAAACAGTCAAGGAAATCTCTAGTTAACAAGGAGGAAAAAATACAGAATCTTATTTCCCAAGAGAACAGAAAATATAAATATCAGTCAAATCTCTTGTTTATTTAATTCTATATGCAGACGCAATGATCTTGTATTTATACTACATTATAAATCTGTATGATTTAAACAAATGGATGATTCCTCAATAAGGTATATTAATAAAAAAAATACATTTCCCGTCAGTGTTTGAGGCAAAGATTGGTTGCCGTGTTTCGCCCACAAATATACAGCCACTACACTTTACAGTATACTCTGAAGCATTTTCAGACATCTAGACGTGTGAAAAGCACTATAACAAATGCAAGGATGATGATGATGAAAGAGGTCATTGTAATTTGAGCTCTGGGTCATTCAACAAACTCCCGAGCAGGCTTTGTTTGGCATCCTTAATATAATCCTATACATTACTCCTTATATCTTATACTTTTTTAGAAAAATCTAATTTTATAGTCCAGACCTCAGTAATCACATCTTTATTGTGCTGTGCAAAACTGAGCAGGGCCGAGGATACAGTGAATATCAGAGTTTGTGGAATTAATTCCACCTAACACAACAAGTTTGTTCTACAAAGTGTAACTGATGTCATCAAACATTACAACGCTCTTGCCACATTTGATAGGTTCAGATCATACAATGAATTCTAAGAGAAGGATGTTAATGTTTATTTAGTCACCGGAGGTTTGCTGAAGTTTAACCACACACCACTATATCGTCTAACAATGCATATTCTATATCTTTCAGTTCTTCCTTTCCACATTTCTAGATTTTCCACTTGAATTTTACTATTGTTGATTATGCATTATTGATTTCCTCCATTTCCTTATCGAACTAATTCATGAGACATCCTCCTGACGTTAAAGGCGCTAAACTGTATAAATGCACATCATATTGTTTGACTTTAGAAGCATGTTTTTACATCCCGTGATTCCAGCAACTTTTTTAAAAAAAATACTAAATCTAGCCAACATACAATTGGGTCATCTCACTGAAAGAGAGGATTTTACAGGAGCATATCTCTTGTATTTATATTGTATATATGTACAAAAGTAAACTTGATGCACACATGAGACAGAGAGGGGTCTCGGGGAGGGGATCAGGAGGTATGGAGTGTAAATACTGGCACGGACTATGGCATGGGCTGAATGGCCTTATCACTATGAAATATTGCCCTTTATATATTGCAGGAACCCAAGGGACATCGCTTCTAGTAATAGACAAATTTATAAAACCCATTCAGTGCCCAATTGATTAAATGATTCCTTTGTCTTTGCAAACACGGGCTGCGATGTTAATGCATTGGAACTCATGAACATACAGTAGTTGGTTAAAATCCTTTGATAATGCTAATGGCAGGAAGCAGGGATGCAGAACCAATGGCAACAGCAGGGAGCAGAACCAATGTTGCCTCAATTGTATCTTGATAGGAGCTGTGCAGCTGTCCACAAACCAAAACCAATTTCAGGCTGCATGTTGGAAACTGCTTTTTATTTTCAGTGTTCAATTGATGTGAAAACTCTGTTGAGTTGACATACGGTGTAGTTTGAAAATCATTAAGACAACGGAGACAAGTTTTGCAAAAGTCAACGATAAATATTTAATTAGCTATTAACATGCTTAAATTGTTGGTTACAGAAGTATTCTAATCTTAAATCTATTCCAGCTGATAGTTCATTGCCCAGGTTTACTGGATGTGCTTCATCTGTTTTATATACCATAGTTTGTTGCTGGATATGGTAATGTCTAAAAGATCAGAATTCGTAATATACTGTGTTTCTAAAGTTGTACTATTTAAAAGTTATTTGCCTGCGTTAGTAGAGATGGACAGCAATGGACCTTTCAGAAGCACACATTTTAAAATAATTCCATTTTGTGTGACCAATTGGTGTGTTATTGCGATCCAAGTGTTGAAGTGCACTTGTCATTAGAATTACATTAATAAATCAACGACGTTTAAATAGATTACAGTATTTGTCATAACTTCCTATTCCTAATAAAGGACTGCAAAAACTGCATGAATACACCTATTTCAGTATTTCAAAACTTTCAGAAGTGCAGAAGGAGTCACGGACAATAATGAGCTTCTTTTCTTGGTTTAATTTCTAAATTGATGTCATTCGAGGTCAACACTACAGACAAATTATGTAGTTGTATTGGGTGAAGGGGTCAACATACAGTACAGGGGCTTTATATTGAGTTGACAAACGAAATGGGGGGAAAAAAGTTTAAATCATACATCATTATTTTTTTCTAAACACTTTATCTCAACACTGATGAATAGAAGTGACCCGAGGTGAAATACAATACTTTCCTGGGTCAGGAGGCTTTGCATAGACTTCCTGCCCAGTACAAAGCTCCTGACAGCTACAGTTTCATTTCGCCCACAAAATATACAGTCAATTCACTTTACAGTATATTCTTTGAAGCGCTATGAGATGTCTCGGACGTGATAAGGTGCTATATCAAACACAAGGACTATTATTATTGGTGGTAGTAGTAATAAATGCAACTGCACTAGGATGCTGTAACCACAGCAGCCTGTCTGAGGAGTAACCAAGACCCCAACAATCAGAGAATTCTGGTTCAAGTTAGTTTTTTTTAAAAAAAACAAGCTTATGTATTTTATACTATAGCTACGGGTATTACTTAAGCAGAAAATACTCCCTTTCCTTCATTCCCCTTTACACCCTTAAACTTTTTTTTCCCCGATTGAAGTACCTTGGTGGTGCTTCAGCTGAAGGAGTTTTACGCTCTGCATCCACTTATGCTTGACCTAACCTGGGTTTGTTTGATGCTGACAAGTGCCAAAAGCAGAAAAAGAAGAGTTCTATTCCTCAGCACTGACATCCCTCACCTTGAGCACAAGAACCAGTGTTTATTTTTACATTTTCCAATTAATTTAGGGTTCATACTCGGGCTCTTGTTCTCAAGTTCTTCAGTGTCAGGTGGCTGCACTTGAACCTTGGGATTCCATTCATTGGTAAAAATAATAGGCAGTGATTTCAATATTTTCCTCTTTCATCACCTTTGTGCCTCTGATCCCACCTTTCCTGTATGCTGGGTTGATTCTCACCTTTGCCACTTGCTTCCCCAGGACATTTCTGGCAGAGCCTTAATTAGGACAGTCACTTGTTCTCATTGTGAATGCTGCACCCGTGTGCTAATTTATTCTATCTTTCTCTTGTTTGGTAGAGGAAGATAGTGAATGGAAGGGACCTTTCTACTTTATTCAAGGAGCTGATCCACAGTTTGGCCTCATGAAAGCGTGGAATGATGAGGACTGTGATAACGGAGGTGATGAATGGAAGGCAGAGATCCAACTCACTGAGCAAGCAGTGCAGGCCATCAACAGACTAACATCTAAACCCAAGTTCTTTCTATTGTGTGGAGATCTTATTCATGCAATGCCAGGTAATTGTTGTTGACAAAGCATGCAATCAAGTAAATGACTGCAGTAACACATTTACTCTTACTTTCAAAAGTATCAATATTGTTACTTCATTAATTTATTCAGAATACATTGTAAAAATTTGCCTCCAATGATATAGTGATTATTGTACTCGGCAATATTTATAATAATAATAATAATCCTTGCATTTGATATAGCGCTTTTCACGTCTTCTAGACGTCTCATTTACTTATATTCATAGTAAATAATAACCATCGGGGGGATATCGCGAAGCACTTCACAGGATTTATTGTATTTACTGTCACAACTGTGGATTTTGTATGCAAACGCAGCAGCCAATTTGTGCACAATGTCCCACAAATATACATGAAGTGAAAGACCAATTTATAGTCCGTAAGCAAGCAATATGGGGAGAATAAACTTATTTTAAATAGTTTTTTTCTTAAATAAGGGGACAAAAAGGTCCTCAAGGATTATTAACCTAAGTCTAACCTAAATCAAATCCAATGAAACTAATTCCAATTTTAAAAAGCCTAAAAAGGAAAGTTGTCTTATTTCAAACAAAAGGCCTATATATACCTTTTGTATTCTCTTCAGCAAAACCTCAGGCATGTTTACTCTATTCACACTTTTGTTCCAAATACGCTCGACAGATTACCTAATAGCTGGGTTCTAATGCAAGATTGAACTGGACAAGTACAACTATAACCTAGCCATACAGAACAACCCAACACTCCTTATGCAAAACAAAGCAGACTTGACCTTCAAGTGGTTGAAAGAACATAGGACGCTCCATTTGCTTGCTTCTAAAGCAAGCCACGATCTCTGGAGTTATCTTTAGAAAGTCTAAGGTCATGTCTGCAGCTTTAAACTAATCACAGTTTAACAACCGCAGCAAAATGAATGTCAACTGCCGTTACTTCAGGAAAAGTGAAACAATCTAATAGGCCTACTAGATCTGCAATGCACCATGCTGGGAAGGCATAGTGCAACATACACATTTCATCTCGTCTTTAAGAAAATCAACACAACACCAAAGTGCCCCATCCAAACCTTAACTATCCAAATCATTCTGGTTGAAGGTTTATTAGATCATCAGTTGGCTGATTTAAGAAATGTCTTGCTTTATAGAAAATATTCCCAGCACAAACAGCAATCAAGTTTTTATTAACATCTGTCTGGTGTACTTTGCTGGGAAAGGATTATTGTGGCTGTTGTTTTTACTGTGCCTGCACTGCAGCCATTAGCTATCAATAAAGTAAAGTAACTGCATTTACAGTCTCTTGGTGCTTGAGAGAGCTCTCCCATTATATCCCAGCTGATCTAAGCTTGTAAAAGACTGCTAGCGGTTATTACTATGTGTGCTTGGACTTTGTTATTCTTCATCTGCTGTTAATTTGCGTTACTGCTGCACTTAGATGGCCTGTTAAAATATTTTCACAGCTGCTAGTTGGGAGGGATGCTACAGATTCTGTATTAGCTCGCCAGATAAATCATCTCAAAATATGAGTGAGGTACTGTGGTGTGAATGACAGAGAATGTTAATCTTCTGAATACCTACAGCGCAGCAGATCCAAGTGTTGTACTCCACTAATTTTTCAATAAAATGGGGCGAAAAGCTATCTTTCACACATGTAGATAAATAAAAGTCCTCACGGGTTCTCTCAGGTTCCTTTCAAATATCCTTCATATAGATTACTGGAAACTGAAGGACTTTGTGTTGTCGTTTTAACTCGAGTGCGTTTGAACTGGAGTTGTAGAAGGAACAGCTGTGAAAAAAACAGCATAGTTACCACCTATGGATTACTCCAGTTGCTATGCGGTTCTTCATGGGTATCAACTGTGACAGAGCTGACTGTGAAACACAGGAATGAGGGAAAGCATAACCTTAGTGAGTGGCAGGAATGATGAACTGCTCTGCAACTGGCAAGACCGGGAAAGTGATCGATTGTTAAAACTCAATAACTCCTGTTTATCAAATCAATCACACAACCTAGTGCACCAAGCACAAGCCACTGCATTGCACCCATTGTCCGGTGGAATTAAATTCAACATGTATTTAACCCCGGCTTGTGTATAAGAATCCAAAGGCGGCTGGCTGAATGACTGGATTTTTCGTGCTTGGTGCACATTTGAAGTGAGTGTATAATTCACCATATAGTGTATTTATAAAATTTACAATAAATTCTGTCAAGCGCTTCGAGACGTCTCAAAGACGTCTCGCAGCGCTATATCAAATGCAAGGATTATTATTCTTATTATAATTCAGGAACCTCAGCACAGCTTTGTGCTAGAACCAATTTTTAATGGGTTTTGCCTCTTTTTTCTCCTCTGTTCCCTATCCTGTACTCTCAAGGACTGACCTCATTCACTTCATACTCGATCAGTTTACCTGTCAGTTTTATTTACTTATTAAACCCAAGTTTGGATTTCAGCTAAATTATTTCACCACACTGCTGTAAACAAACAATGCTAATCTTGTTCACCAGAGGTTAATATGAACTATACAAGTGCAGAGAGTAGGATAAATCTACAACTATTGATGCAGCAGCTGGTGATCACATTAGCTTCATAACATTTCAAAGGAAAAGACAGAAATTAAATGGAAATGATCTGACTGACTATCAATACCTTTAGGATGTAGTCTTCCTTAATTAACTAGTTGAAAAGGAAAAAAATACAGATTTGTAAAGGATATTTGCAGCATTATTGCATTTGAAGGAAATCTCATATTATTCATGGAAAATTAGTATTCTTAAAGAGTTTTTAACTTAAATTAAATTTGGTTTGTAGAAAGGAAACCAAGATTTTGTTAGACTCTGAATCATTATCATTGTCGTCTGATGTGAGAATTCAATTGTTTCATCATTAAAACCGTTAAGCAATGATGTACAACAGTATTCTATTGAGTATAAAAAACATATAATTAATTTATCACAGAATGTTTTCTCCTACATTTTCTCCTAAATAAAAATATTTCAGTTCTTTTCTTTGACTCATTGTTCGGAGGAAAAGTGAACACTAACTGACTGGAGTACTTTAGGGGTGTATTCTTTTCATGCTGTCTGTAGCTACAAGGATTTTGTTGGGGTACTGATCATCCCACCATCTAGTGGTGGATAGTTTATCATCAGTTGAATATTTTTCAGTGTCTCTCAAATTTTAAAACAAAATTACAATCAACTCCAAGGCAGCCCAGTTATTAAGCATCTTGCTAGAATTCAGATAAGATACAATTTTCCTGTGGACGTGCAGTTATCGGTAGTGACACCGCTGGTTTCTGGTGGGGACCAGGATCCTGTGTAGGAAGTGGCCTTATTGGCCTTCGAATACATATGCAGAAATGGGTCAAAAGTTGAGGAGAATGCCTATATTCGCAGTCATCTTAAATGCATTGTATGTTGTTTAAATTAGAACCATCTATGCTATTCAAAGTGCTACAATTCCATTATTGCCCAATTGCAATGTCCTGGAGAATTGCACAACAGTTTGGAACACGTTTGGAACGCAAGCAGAACATCAGTGGTATTGTAACAGAGGAATAAAAAAGCATTGAAAAGATTGATGTTTAGTCCGGCTGTGAAGGTGGCACGGATCAGGCTCGCAAATTAGCAGTGCCCTAAAATGAGTCAGGAACAGTGTGCGCTAAGAACATCCTCAGGTAGAATTTTACCATGAATTCCTTTTCACCAGAAACAGTACTTTTTGTTTTGCAGAACAGAAGTTTGCAGTAGACAGCTTGAAAAGTTAGGGAATCTATATGCTCGTCAGGTTTCCTCCAGGTTGGTTATGCAGCAGATTGTTGAACGCGTCGTCAAACTATTGTGCTTTATGAAAAATGGTTATAATCACATTAAGGTTATGTTGTTCTGCTGTTAGGTTTCCATATGTTTGTCATTTGCTTGATAACACTGAGGACAACATTTGAATATTTCTAACCAAAAGCATCTTTTCCGTATTTACTGAAGGGTAGAAGCTGGTAACTTAGTTGGTTGAGCACCTGGCTTTCAGTCAAATCACAAGTCTGATGCTTTGGTTATATAATTTAGCCAGGTTTGGTTGATGGAGCAGTACAGAGCAGCAGTATATTATATGTGGATCATGCCTTTACAAATCAAGAGTCTCACACTTCATCTGGCCTGAGGCGGAAACCAATCATTACCATATCCTAGGTAAGCAGCTAAACATCGCACAGAATCCTGGTTTAAGGAAAGATGTGCTGCAGGATTATATGAAGCACAATGCTTTGACAGATGGGGAAAGATCATAAAACCATAAACATTGGGAAGCTCATCTCCGCAACAAGTTTCAGTATGAAAACCTAGTGTAGTAAAAACACGTTTGTCAAAGTCACTACATGTGATGGCAAGTGAAATGTCTTGTCCATTGTATGTCTTGAGACGAGATGAAAACAATAATTGTAGGTCCATTTCCTTTCTGCCAATTGTGTCAAACCTTATGGAAACCAAAGAGAAGTTGCAACTTCGGTAACAAAAACCTAATATCTGATCATTGGTTTAGCTCTGGTGGGTTATGATAAATGGATATTTGTTAACACTAAGACAGGGCCCCTCAGGGGAACACATTTAGTCCTACATTGTCTCTTGTATTCAACAGTGACCGAGCGGAATTCGTCAAATTGACATTTTCTTCACTGATGATCCTGCTTCAGGCAAATTTAGATAGAACTGAACTGTGTGCAGATATACTGTGCATTAACTGCAGTGCCGAAAAGATCAAGTCAATAAATTGGTTGAGAAAGATTGACTGTGATGTTACGCATGTTACCCTGCCTTAGGAACTGCAAACTGTCTTCAGCTACATTCAGTTCCTCATCTCGGTAATTGTGCTTGATCTATATTGGGACAAATGAATGGTAAGCATGTTACAGGAGTAAAAATGGTGAAAAAAGCAATACTTTACACCATTATCAAAGTCATGGAATATTGCAGTTTGCCAAGGAAAACCCCAACTCTTGCTTCTGTATTCAGCACAGTTCAGA